CTTTTTTTCACCTGCCCTTATTGCAACATTCTGTTTCCGGAAAGATACTTGTCACCCGACGGATGGCGGTGGGTAGCGAGATTGCTTTCCTGGTGGCCACAGTTGGATGCACTGACCTTTTTAATTTCATGATAGCATCCACCAAGTTTATGATCTCCAGCCCTAACATTGTACTTACCAGGACTGCACTGATCCCGACCGCCTTTATGGTGCTCGTCAGGACTGGATCAACCACGAAAATGGACATCGTCGCGTGTGGCATTACCAAACCCACGTAGGAGAGTTTGAGACCCAGCAAGAATACGTTCGGCATTTGCAAGACATCCACAAAGCAGACGCGTCCCTTACACAGTATTCGCCAGAGATTCTGGCGACAGCAATCGGCCCTTCTGCTGCTCCACGCCGTGATTGCCCCTTCTGTCCGACCACGTTTCCTGATATTACACAGACGCAAAGGCATATCGCATATCACTTGGAGTGCCTTGCGCTCTTCGCACTTCCGACGTCGGAGGAGCATGATAAAAGCGGAAGTGAAAGCGCGTCGAACAGGTCAGCCGAGAGCTATAAAGTAGCCGAATGCCACGGGGGTCGAAATTCGATAGATGAAGATTTCACCGACCAGGAGCGCGGCGTCTTCTCAGACCTTGTCCTTGCCTCTCGAGACTTGGCAGACCAGCCGGCATCATCTTCCGATGCATATCTTGACAGAAACGCTCTAGGTAGCGTTCAAGTTGCCTCACTTTCCTCACCCTTACATGACCGCCTGATACAATAGGTCAGCACTGTTATCACCAATGACGATGAACATGTATCGCCCAACACCTCACCGCCCAAGCCGCCGAAAAGCGTTAAAGCCACAGAGCCCCCGTTGTCTGAAGATGTGCAGGACGAGGTCAAAGAAGGTGGTTGGGGCTACCTCTTTCCACTGAATCCTGCCCACGGCGGCAATTGCATTGTCCTCTACAAAATCAAACGCAGTTGCCGGCTTTTGCCAACCTAAAAGAGAAAATACCTCGTCGACCCTGGCATCCCTGCTGGTTATTTGATCGGCCGTCACCCCGAATGCGATGAGTAGCCACATTCATCTTTTCTCTTCGGAGCACATTTAACCTTGTAAATTCCTCTAGATGTCGTCATAGTCGATCCCATCATCTCGAACAGACATTGCTTGATATACCCCCTTTGTCATGGAACTAGTGTCATAGCAATGCTCGTGGATCTCTCCAACAACGGTGCCTTCATCAACGAGACCATTATAGGGCGTAATAACACGAGACAGCTCCAAGAGCACGATGAGATTGCCATTCTAGATCGAGCACGGTTCATCTTCAGGTATCCTCAGACTCACATGGCAAGATCTACAATGTTTGGCCAACAGTATCCTTTGTTGAAACAATCTACAGCTTTTCTCCAACAGTATACTTTGTTGGAACGTCTCGAGAAGTCAAGTTGGTGCGAAGTGTATCTTTGCGTGGAAAAGGCATCGGGTCAACGCTACGCCGTCAAAATATTCTTTTATCCACCTTCCAACACGACAAGAGAGAAACTGCAGCCCATACTTGCCATTCCGATGGGCGTCAGCCATCCCAAACTTCTTTGCCTCAAGGATGTGTTCGAGGACCACGCGCCCGACGGTGGCCGTCAGGATACCATATTCATGGTGCTCGAGCTCGCATCAGATGGGGAACTTTTCAACTATATCGTAGCAAAGGAAAAGTTGACCGAGGATGAAAACCGAGTGGTGTTTATCCAGGTTTGTGAGGCTGTCAAGTACTTGGTAAGTTACCTACCTACACAATCATGACAACGAGAAAATGAGAGTAAATTTACTATGCTGATTGGTAACTTTCCAGCACGACCGTAATATCGTGCATGGAGACATTAAGTCCGAGAACATCTTCATGACAGATGAAGATGTAGATGTCAAGGTCGCCGATTTTGGCTTGAACACCTTTATTCAGATTCTCAAGGATTCTGAGGATAATAGTACTCGGAGCGAGGCGACCGCGATGGGGCAGTATGTACCGCCCGAAGTACTACTACTACTACTACGACTACTACAAAAAGAGTCGTGTTCTGGGCCAAGTGGTAAAACTGTAACCCCAATCACTAGCAAAATGGGCGATATTTGGTCGCTGGGCGTGGTGCTCTGCATATGCCTATGTGGCTTCCCGCCTTTCTCGGACGAGCTCTACCCTGAGGCGTTTCCCTATACGATGGTGGAGCAGATCAAAATGGGGCAATTTGACTATCCTTCGCCCCATTGGGACGCAGTCGGCATTCCGGCTCGTAAGTTTATTACACCACACAACACAAACATAAAAAAGGGGCAGCTAACAATACTTTCTTCTTAGGTGACTTGATTGACTCAATGCTGGTCGCCAACCCGCATAAACGTTTTACTATCGATCAGTGTTTGCATCATCCCTGGGTGACCCAGCAGCCCCTGGGGAAACAGAACCGCGTGCGGTGAGTAGTGGGGATATTACGGGTGGTACCAAAGGGAAAATCGCCCCTGTTGGAGCAGGATCTGGATGAACTCTGACGCCAAGCCTGTCGTCAACAGAGGCAGACAGATCCAAATTGATTGTAACATAGCCTCTGAAGCCTACACAAAGACACGAGTAAGTTATAACACACTTTGGAAGCTAGCTGTAATGCTGGACAGGCTGGACCGACGAGTTCCACAAACCCAAGTTCCGAAGTTGACTTGACCTGTCATATTCAATATAGATATTTATGATATTGAACTCCTAGAAGAACAGAATTATTTACCTCAGATACCTCTTGAAGCTGGAAATCTCAAAGTTTTGAACCGTGCGAAAACACTCACCCCTTTCTGTCCCTTTTTTCTCTCCTGAACGTTGGTGTCGCCCTGGTGATGGCGGTAAGCTCCGAACCCTGACTTCTACGCTCAGGGTTATGTATTGGGCGACACGTCACTGGCACGGCCCCGCTTGACAGCGTTGTGCGCCAGTTATGACGCCGACTTGGCGCCAAGACCTGATAAGGTCCGGCCCCTCATCTGGCAGGGAAGCTTGCCCAACCAAGGCCAAGCAGCACCAGCTCATCAGCGCCAAAGGCCGGAAGCAACAACGAACCTCTACCCGCTCGCTCCCCCCCATCCAAACCAGACCAAAGCTCGGCTTCGACGATCGACTTCGTGGCTTCCGCCCCGCACCACCTTACCCTTTTTCCCTTCCCTCAACGCCATCGCGAATCATCGCTCTTCGACGACGATTGCAATCATGGCTGCGAGAGGAGTTACCTTTTTCAAGTTCGTGGGGACCGTCTCCCTCGGTCTCTTGACGGTGAGTTCTTTTCTTGTCTTGGCCATTGTCTTCGCTCTCCCCACTCAAACCCAAACGAACGACCTATTGTTCTTGCCAGGGCCCGCCCGCCGGCAGTGGTGGTGGCAAGCGCGGCTATCTACCTAACCTAACCTGCGGATCTCACAACTATTTCTCCAGTCGGGTTGATGGCTGACGATGCGATGAAAATACAGGGCCTGTCCTACACACTATCGAACCTAACCATCCCGACGCTCTTGACCCTGCCTTCCGCCGACACCGCGGCCAGGGCCTTCGACACCCTCACGTCGACAGCGAGAAAACACCTCTCGATCTTGGGATCGGTGTCCGGATCCGCGTTTGCGCTCGCCTTCCTGCTGTCGCCCCGCGCCTGCCGCCACCCGTACCTCCTCTACACATCGCTTCTGGTGTTCGGCTCCCGGGTGGCGACGTCGGATCTCGTTGCCCCGTACCTCTCGCTCGGCCCGGCTCCGTCGTCGTCATCTGCATCAGTTGGCGCTGCTGCTGCTGCGCGCAAGCAAAAGAAGGAGCGTGCGGCTGCCCGTGCGCGCAGCATGGAGGCCAGCTACGAGGTCCTGGGCGCGAGCAGCTCCGATGCCCACAGCGAGGGCACCGGGTCGGTGGCGAGCGGCGAGGAGCTCGAGGCTGACGAGGAGAACATGAATGGGGAGGAGGTTCGCGTGAAGGTGGAGGCTTTCATCAAGAAGCAGGTTGTCCAGAGCGCCGTGGCCGGCTTGGGCTTTATGCTGGCTGTCGTTGGTATCTGGGGAGATGGCGTGCCGCAGGTTTATGGCACCAGCCAGACGGTGCTTGTTTCTGCATAGAGGAAGGCGAGATGGTTTGAAGGTAGGGAGTTATTGGGCTAAGGGTGAGGAGGTACTTGAGAAACTAGGAAACTAGGCGATGACAGGACGGGAGGCGTCGAAGTTTACGGGTTGATGTTGTGGGAAGTCCACTCCCTCTCTTTTCTGACGGTTATAAGGTCAGCTACTCTACGCTGGCTAGCCATGCCAGAGAATGTATCTATTGGATCAAACTGGAGTTAATTCGGGATTTTTCTTTTCGTTGGTCAGATGTGTCTCCCCGCCGATGCAATGGTTTGTACAGACATTGCAGGCTCGATGAGCTTCGGTTACCCGTCTCTGGTTCTTGATTGACTGCCTGCAAACAGGCCTCTACAATCGGTTTGCATTCGTGCCTCTTCCACACGCTGTGTTAGTCTCACACGCACACACAGCCATATAAGTTCATTGGAATCCCCGCTAGCAAGTTCATATCCAACTACGAAACTTTTCTGCGATTCAGAAACTACTGTAGACAAACTGCAACAACAACCGCCGTGTCTATGCACGCACTGGCTCAGTGACAGATCGTTATGCTGAGAATGACCAAGTTCATGAAAAACAATTGTGGTGCATGACAACATGCATACGACTGTGTTATTGAACATGAGCGCTGAAAGGAGGCACAGGCAGGCGTGGGGGGGACCGAGTCCACCATCACATTCATCCTGCAACTTGAACCTAGGTAAATACTTCGCAATGTCCTTCAAATCTCTTAAGCCCGGATCCACATTTTGTTCATATAAAAGAGGCTAAGTAACTGAAAATGTCAAAACGAGGCGCGGCTGAGTTGGGTGCGCAAGGTTCATATTATTTCCAAGGTCTGTGCTCATCAACGAATCAGACAGGCAAGATGGCCGAGCGGTCTAAGGCGCTGTGTTCAGGAAATTTCAGGTGATATTTCAGTGTTTCGCAGTCCGAAAGGGCGTGGGTTCGAATCCCACTCTTGTCATAAATCTTCAGTTTTGTTATTCTTTGCGTCTTATTTGTTTTGTTAGTATAACTGATAACTTATTATGAATCTTATTTTGTTGCCAGTACGTGTGGAAATCTTTGTGAAGGTAGGCGGACTGGTATACATACGGAATACTTGCGCGCGCTTTATAAAACGATTTCGCCCTTCCATCTGTATTGACTCGTAGGCCTATAGCAGGTCTCTTTTTACGACGCCCCCTGATTCGATGTAGTGCATGATTTGTTTACCTCGGGAAACTATTCATTTATAGTTCCAAATAAACTTGGATATCTCGAACTCATAATAAGTTACGGACTCTAACTGGTGCTCTGGATCTACCTGTTCCTCTGAAGAATGCTGTCAAACCGGAAAAGGGATAGCAAAGTATGGCAAGGGGGGTATCCAAACTCTCACAAGGAAGGACAATTAACTACACTGAACCCGAAATGCCACAACCTAAACAAAACTAGGCAGCGGTAACACTTTAGTACACTCCGTCAACCCGTTGAGGTTATAGACTCCCAAAAGACTCATCCGAATATACTCGGCCGCGAAAGCCTGATGCCAAACACCCTCCCCACCGCCCCTCGTCGCAAAGAACCGAAACGAACTCCCCGTTGACTCGTGCCTTGCCATCGCCACGTCACTGGGGAACCTATACACACCCTCCGTCGCATTCTCCACGAGCGTGTCGTTGTAGTAAACCGTATCCCACGTGCCGGGCGTATTGTCCTGATACTCGCCTGCCTTGGTCTCGTCAAACCCAAACTGTCGACTAATAGTGTGCGCGCCTACCAGCGCCGCCAATCCGCCGGGCGTGAACGAATTCTCCTGAAAAAGCTGAATGATATGCTCGACACTACCATGGGGATCGGCCAGCAGCCCCTCGGGCGCTGGCATCGCGTTATCTTGTCGTCCGATAAAGTACCGCACCCTCGGACCGCCCAGGGCAGCTGACCGTCGCCGTGATCGCGCCGAGCTGGGTTAGGTCTGCCATTCTGATGCCGTCTGCAGAAAAGACATCGTACCACGTCGCCATGAGATTCATGATGCCCTCCAGGCCGAAATTGTCCGCCCGGTTTTTTTTCCTCTGCGCTCAGGAGGACGGAACCGTCCGCGTCATGGAAGCCGAGACGAAGGGCGCCGCGCGCCAGGGAGGTGCATTCGCCTGTTGTAGGGTCTACAAAGGCTGTGAACATGGCTTCGGCGACGTGCTTGTGCACACAGCAAGGGTCGGCGTGGCAGGCGGAGGTTCCTAGGATGGGAACAGGAGTGGTGTATGTTGAATTGTTGTCGATCGGGGGTCCTCCGCCCTGAAGGATGACTTTTAGACACAAGCCGACGGGGGTCAGTTGGTTGTCCGGGAGGATGACGAGGTCACCTAGGACTTGGGTCAATCCGAGGAAGCCTGCTGGAGGGGCTGTCGGCCATGGATATCATGACGATCATGGGATGTGGGTTGTAGGTTGGAGAGGAGGCGGGCCATGCCTGGGAAGGCCTGTACCACTCTCACGGGTTGGTTGGAGAGAAGGAAGAAGACGGAGTTGTTGATCTCATCGCAAATGTTTGTAAACTGGTTTGTTTTGAAGCTGATCAGATTACATCTTGATCTCCAGTCTGATACTTGTACTCGGCGCATGTCCGGCAAGCTGATGGTGTACATCATGCTATCATCCAGCCTTCTTGGCACCAAAGTCAGTGTCCCAGCCATGGTGGTGCCGAGATGTCCGTCTGAAGGCCGAGAAAAAGGGATCAGTAATGCTTTGCATCATGGGAAGACCGTCTTTTGCGGCCAGCTTCTATCATCCAGGAAAACACCCGACAGCCTCTACTGGCCGATAGTATGTCAAACCTCACAAAGTGGTGTTCCAACTTTGACGTTACCAAAAGCCAGCAGGCGTGCAGGACAGGTAGGACCTCGTTGGGGATGCCACAATAACCGCACTGCCGCTTTTTAGTGAATCTCCACCTCTGGACTGCTGTATTGCATTAACCATAACAGTATACGCATAGCACCCGGTACTAAATCCTACCTTAAGGGTCTGTCTCGTCAAGGAGCTTGTGCGTCTGATCCATCTTAGCTCGGTTGAGAAGTGGCGGGCGTCGCACCAGACCGACCGCTTGTTTTGTTTTGCGGAGACGGTTAAAGGGGCGAAAAGGACATCCGATAGGCGAGGCTTGGCATCAAACGGGCCGCACCGCGGTCGACATGTATAAATCATGCTGCTATACTCTCTTTCTCTTCATCGCGGGATTGGATGGGGTGGTTAGACTGTGAGGAGCTACGACAGGAGCCCATGATGTGCTGTAGAATATTGACTGCCTTTCTATGTCGCACTACCGAAAGGGTTATTCATAGATCCAATATTCGTCGTGGGTAAGGGGTAAGTACGGGTGATGGGAATGGGTCTCCCTCATGCTCAGTCCCAGCCTGGTTGTAAGAGATGATCGGCCAGCCACCTGCTCTTGACTTGAACACTGCAATCATCCATGGACTAATGATGTATTGGATACGGGGGGTCGTCTAACTCAGAGCGCATTGGACTTTGAAAAGCGTGAACGAATCGGTTGTTGATGTTTGCAAGAGGGCTATGAAGGAGGCTGATCACACCTTTCTCAACAAAATAGAAACCTTGTTTTCTTCCATGATACGTCTGTACTTAGTCCATGGAGCGCATAGGCATAGTTCAGTACCTTGACACCGTTGCCGGGCGAGAACACTGATCCCCGAGCATACCGCTAGTAATGGCCCTCTCGACCTCTGGCGAGAGATGCGCACAATGTTTTCTGGTCACTGAACTACGTCAGCTGAGACTGTGGGTGATATGCATACATGCGTGGTATGATACAGCTTGATTGACAGGACCCCCGTGGCTCTGCATCATCGTGTAACCATCGATGTCTGTACGGGTTCAGATGAGAGTAATCAACATGCGGAGGACGAAGAAGTAGGGGCTAACTACATGAAATCAGTTTCATCGCCGCTCAGGGCCAGTTTTTAGACACCAAACTGAATGATAGGACATTGGGCCATACCGTAAATTGATGTTGTGCGCTTGAACTTTCAAGAGCGGTCCACCACTATGTCTTCGCTCCCCCACCGCTAAAATTCAGACTGTAACCACCCGACTTCTCGTCCTTGACCATGTTAAACTGGTCGGTGCTGAGTCCGAACGGCTTGAGAAGCCCGTTGCCGAGATCTTTCAACTTCCCCCACATCTGGCCAATCTCTTCTTGTTTCGCAGCCTCGACGAGAGGCGGCAGTTCTCTGAGCTGGGCCTGCACAATCCTCTTGTTGGCTGAGTCCAGGTTCGTCATCTTGGACAGCGTCTGATAGTCTTTAAGCGCATCCTCGAGATCTCGCCATGTGCCTAGTTCTCGTTTTGCGCGTCCGCGCCGTAAGAGGGCCTTGCACCGTAGCCTCGCGATATCTTCTTGACGCTTCCGGCGTGCGATTTCGGCTTCATTTTCCAGGTCTGGGACAGCCGGGCCAGCTTTCGCCGCGCCGGCGCTGACAATTTCGACTTCCACTACGTCATCTTCCTCTCTCGCTTGTTTGCGCTCACCCGCTTCTGGCTTCTTCGCATTCTCGGCCTCGGTCTCCTCACGCTCCAGTTTGTCTAGATTTTCTATTGCCTTGCCAGCATTCTCAGCCGCATCTTTCCACTCTTTCAGGTTAAGGTGGCAAATGGCCATGTTGGTTCGGAGAATGGCCAGGGGCATGTCGAGGTAGTTCGGACAGACGGCGAGAGCTTCGTCGTACTTGTTGATGGCGGCATCGTACGTGCCCTTGGAAAAGAGGGTATTACCTTCGGTCTTGTGCGCGTTCGACTCGGCCAACAGGGTCTGCAAAGAAGAAGTCAGGATCTTGGCAGAGCAGGCGAAGAGGCTGAGGGCACTTACGGCTTCTTCTTTGGGCGGAAACCTGAGTCTTGGTTGGAAGGCCGCGTCTTGCTCGTCCTGTTCCTCGTGCTGCTGCTGTCCCTGCCCGACAGGGTCAAGGTTAGGATTCGCCATCTTTGGATTGCGCTGCTTGATACCGATGCGAGATAAAGAATTCGATAGATGTAGAGGAGGCTGGGTGCAGAAGCCGACGCTGTAATTTCAAGGCATGCAAGCAAGATGAACCAAGCCGATGTCACTATTCATACCTTACGACCCAACTAAAGTTACCGTATGTTCCACTAAAGCTACCCTATCTAACCCAATGCGGAAGGGGCACAAACTCGATCAGCCACACCAAAATTTTACAGCGGTTAACCTAACATTACCTGCGGAAGTTGCAGTACTGCTACCCCTTGTTGTCGTCAATTAAAGTCTGTTGTATTCTAATTACTTCCGCATGCAAAGCAAGTACGCATGCTTAACAGACGGAATTGCAACCATCGGCCAGGCAAGCCACTTGGAGGAGCAGATTACGTGATTTCAATTTTGCGCAGATAAGTCAGCGAAAAATACATTTACACACATCCACATCTGTGACAAAGCTCACTCAATTGACCCAAACTAACTGAGCTAGAGACCCTTTCACAAGGATGCTAGAATACCAAAGGTGCTAACCTTCTGAATTCTAATGGGTTATATATCGTTGACAGTTGCAATCAATTCAATCAAGGCTCAGTTGTACCAACTGTCACAACATCTGTCAAAAACTATATTTTAACGATTTAAACGGGATTAAGCACTTTGAATTATTCAATTTGATAAGTAATGCAAAGGCATATATTTAATTGTAATGCATTCTATTGCCATTGCTTCGCAGGCGGTATTGGGTTAATCGCTGTGAAATCTTAGCGTGACTAACCGTCACGGACCACTTCCGGATTGGGTTAAATGCGGTAACTTTAGTTGGGTCAATACCTTAGGTACTGAATGAATGCCCCGCTAAACCCACTGCGACCCCTCCTTCAGCCGCAAGAAAAACTTGAATAAGATCGCCCACAAATTTGGAGATGCCTTGTCCCCACTGTAACATAAAGGCGGTTAGCTAAGGTAGC